GTCTGTTTTTGCACAATTTCAGCTCTTTCTCTATAGGAGATAAGACTCTAACTCAGAACAGTCTTAGCATATTTGAGGCTCAGTATCTGCTTCTGAAGCTGGGAGATACAATCCCTGAGTTCATCATTTTCTTTCATCACTGTCTACTGAACTTAGGAGCAACCAACCAGCTTCACTATGTTCCTTGGTTCTCCACATATGGTCACTAAACTCCTTGCCTCTCAACGAACCATGAATCAAGAGTGTCAAATGCATTTATTTTGCATAACTCTCTGAACAGTTCGTGCCAAGGACTATCAGTGTTCTCCATACTATTAGAAGTAGAGTCCTTAGCATTTTTGGGTCTAATCATACTAAGCAGCCAACTCCAGAAGCCCCAAAAACCAATGAAAGAACTCTATCCTTAATACCAAAATCTGTATTAGTTAGGGTACTCTAGAGGGACAGAACTAATAGGATATATACATATATATATATTTATTTATATGTATAAAGGGGAGTTTATTAAGTATTAACTTACATGATCCCAAGGTCCCACAATAAGCTGCCTGCAAGCTGAGGAGCAAGGAGAGCCAGTCCGAGTCCCAAAACTGAAGAACTTCAGTTCGATGTTGGAAAGCAGGAAGCATCCAGCATGGGAGAAAGATGTAGGCTGGGAGGCTAGGCCAATCTCTCCTTTTCACGTTTTTCTGCCTGCTTTATATTCACTGGCAGCTGATTAGATTGTGCCCACCAGATTAAGGGTGGATCTGCCTTCCGCAGTCCACTGACTGAAATGCAAATCTCTTTTGGCAACACCCTCACAGACACACCCAGAATCAATACTTTGCATCCTTCAATCCAGTCAAGTTGATGCTCAGTGTTAACCATCACATATGCATAAAAAATACAAAAGAGTATTTTACAAAATTATCATACTATGCTATTGATGAAATACAAAGCAGGGAAAGCAACAAAAGTCAGTGTTCAGAGTCAAATGTGCTGACCCAAGGCAGTGTGAATTTCCTAGGGCTGCCAGGAGTTAGCAAATTACCACAAACCAGGAGCTTTAAAACAATGGAAATATTCTGTCACAGTCGTGGAGGCTAGAAGTCCAAAATCGAGGTGCCAGCAGGGTTGGTTCCTTTGGAGACACTGAGACACAATCTGTTTCATGCCTTTCTCCTGGCTTATGGTGGTTCCTGGTAACTCTTGGCATTCCTTGGGTTGTAGATGCATCAACCAAATCTCTGCCTCCATCTTCACATCACCTCCTTTTCTGTGTGTCTTCTTTCCCGTCCCATATAAGGACACCCATCATTGAATTTAGGGCCCACCCTCATCCAGGATTATCTCATCTTGAGATTCTTAATTACATCTGCAGAGACCTATTTCCAGATAAGGTTACAGTCACAGGTATTTGGGGCTAGGACTTGGACATCTCTTTTGGGGGGTACTATTCAACAACTTCAGTCCACTCTATGATACCCAAATTTCATGCCCATTTCACTTGCAAAATACATTTACCTAACCAACATTCCCAAAAACCTCAGTCCATGACTGCATCCTAAGTTTAAAATGTCATTGAAATATCATCAGCTCAGAAGTCCCGTACCAAATCTCATCATCTAAATCATCTCCATCTGGTATGCATGAAACTCTAGGTATGATCCATTTTGGGGCAAAATCTCTCCATTTGTAAAACTAGAAAACAAATTAATTGGCCAGGTGCAGTGGATCACGCCTGTAGTCCCAGCACTTTGGGAGGTCAAGGCAGGAGGATCACTTGAGCCCAGGAGTTTGAGACCAGTCTGGACAACATAGTGAGACCCTGCCTCTACAAAAAAAATTAAAAATTAGCTGGATGGGTTGGGTGCAGTGGCTCACACCTGCAATCCCAACACTTTGGGAGGCCGAGGCAGGTGGATCATCTGAGGTCAAGAGTTAGAGACCAGCCTGGCCAACATGGTGAAACCATGTCTCTACTAAAAATACAAAAATTAGCTGGGCATGGTGGCACATGTCTGTAATCTCAGCTACTCAGGAGTCTGAGGCAAGACAATCGCTTGAACCTGGGAGGCGGAGGTTGCAGTGAACTGAGATCACGCCACTGTGTTCCAGCCTGGGTGACAGAGTGAGATTCCATCTCAAAAAAAAAAAAAAAAAAAAAAATTAGCCAGGTGTGGTGGTGCATGCCTATAGTCCTAGCCTGCTCCAGGAGGCTTAGGCTGGAAGATTGTCTGAGCCCTGGAGGTTGAGGCTGCAGTGAGCTGTGGTCATGCCACTGCACTTTAGCCTGGACAAGAGAACAAGACAAAACAAACAAACAAACAAACAAAAAACAAAGAAAGAAAGAAAGAAAGAAAGAAAGAAAGAAAGAAAGAAAGAAAGAAAGAAAGAAAGAAAGAAAGAAAGAAAAGAAAGAAAGAAAGAAAAAATAAATTAATCTGCTTTCAAAATACAGTGCTGGAGGAGAGGCATAAGTAAGTCATTCCTGGCCAGGTGTGGTGGCTTATGCCTATAATCCCAGCACTTTGGGAGGCTGAGGCAGGAGGATCACTTGAGCCCAGAAGTTTGAGACCAGCCTGGGCAACATAGTGAGACCCTATCTCTATTTTAAAAATAAATTTTAAAAAATAAAAATTTTATTTTTGTTGCTGTCCCAACAAGGAGAAATTGGAAGGAACAAAGGGGTCACCATTCCAAGCAAGTTTGAAATCCAGCAGGGAAAATTCTATTAGTTTTCAAGGCCTGAGAATAATCCTCTGTGACTCACTTCCCTGCCCTCTGGGTCCACAGAGGCTCCATCAGCCCCTGCCTCTAGGCCTGCTTCTTTGAACCCTGCCTCTTTGGACCCTGCCTCTGCATCCACGGCTTTGTTCTGAGTCATTCTTGCTTTTCCTTGAAGGTTAGCATGTGTGTGTAGCTAACTACCTCTATTAGCCTATTTCCTGCCTGTAGAATCCCAGAAGTCTCACAGCTATTTTCATTTCATCTTATCTCTGTCCCTTTCTGTACAAGCTAGCAGTGTTTCTGCATATATAACAGTCTCAAAAACTTTGTAGGCCCCCTTTGTATTTCAAGGGTATCCATTCTAGATAACTCCATCTCTATTTCTGGCTTCTTCTGGGATGGTCGACTGGGTTCATGAGACATCCCTAATCTCTTTAGCAAAATGTTGTCCAGCCACATCCTTGACCCTCTCTCTAGGGCACACTCTTCCTACTATGAGTTTCCTAACTTCAGCATCCTTTGTGAACTCGGTAGGCTGAGAACCTCCCAAATAAAAAAGTGCTGGTTTCTCTTGGCTTAACAGTTATTTTCTCAATTTATCTTCTCTATAATTTTCCTATAAGTACAAAGAGAAACCAAGCCACACCTTCAACACTTTGTTTGGAAATCTCCTCAGCTAAATATCTAAGTTCATTACAGCCTTCAAGTTCTGTTTCCACTCAGCAGTAGAAAACAATACATTCACATTTCTGCCACTTTATAATAAAGATGGCTTTTCTTCCGTTTCTAATAACACGTTTCTTATTTCCTTCTGAGACCTTACCAGAAGCATCTTTAACATTCATATTTCTACCAGCATTCCATTCATGATATATATACGATGGGCCCTCCATATCTCTGGGTTCCACATCTGTGGATTCAGCCACCACAGATCAAAAATATTCAGGGGAGACATATAATAAAAAACAATAAAACAGTAAAAATAAAGTAATAAAAAGCAATACAGGCCAGGCGTGGTGGCTCATGCCAATAATCCCAGCACTTGGGGACAAGAGGATTGCTTGAAGCTAAGGGTTTGAAAACAGCTTGGGCAACAAAGCAAGACCTCATCTCTACAAATAATAATTTAAAAATTAGTCAGGTGCAGTGGCATGTGTCTGTAGTCCCAGCTACTTGGAAGGCTGATGCAGGAAGATTGCTTGAATCCAGGAGTTCGAGGCTGTGGTGAGCTATGATTGCACCACTGCACTCCAGCCTGGGTGACAGAGCAAGACCCCATTTCAGAAAAAAAAAAAAAAAAAGAAAGAAAGAAAGAAAAAGTAAAAAAACCAACAATACAGGATAACAACTAGTTACATAGCAATTTACATTGTATTAGGTATTGTAAGTAATTTAAAGGTGATTTAAAGTATACTGGAGGATATATGTAGGTTATATGCACATCTATGCCATTTTATAGCAGAGATTTGAGCGTTCATGACTTTTGCTATCCATCAGGATCCTCGGACCAGTCCCCTGGGATACCGAGGCATAACTGTATTCTCTAGGGCAATTGAAGCTTTCTTTTCTATGCTGTTCACTTCCTCTGAGCCCTCACCAGAATCATCCTTAAAGTTCATATTTCTGCCAGTCATCTCTTCAAGGAAATCCACTAGACTTTTTCTATTATATACCTTGAAATTCTCCCAACCTTTACCCGTTAGCCAATTACAAAATCTCTACCACATTTTTAGCTATGTGTTATAGCAGCACCCCTTTCCCAGTACCAAAATCTGTGTTAGTTTCCTTGGACTGCTGTGAAAAATGACCACACACAGGGTGATCTAAAACAGTAGAAGCGTATGCTCTTATGGATGTGGAGGCCACAAGCCCAAAATCCAGGTGGTGGCAGGGTTGGCTCCTTTTGGAGGCCGTGAGGGAGAACCTGTCCTAGGCCTCTCTCCTAACTTCTGGGTATTGCTGGCAATCCTTGGCATTCCTTTCTGAGTAAATGAACCACTCTGATCTCTGCCTCCCTCTTCATGTCACCTCTACTCTGCATGTCATCTTCTTTTCTGTCTCTTATGAGGACACACCATTGGATTTAGGGCCCACTCTAATTCAGGATGATCTCATATTTCTAAATAAGGTTATACTCTCAGGTACCTGGGGTCAGTTCTTGGACATATCTTTTGGGGACCACTCTTCAGCCCACTACAGGCAGATTTCCCGTAGAAGGTTAAGGGTTCAGGATGGAAAAGCTGGGTGGGGGATAAGGCACTTGTCAGAGCCCTGTTTTCCCATGGCAGCAGGAACGCCCCAAGAGTGCTGTGTTCCCTGGTGAGGGGAAGGTCAAGATGAGTGTGGAGGAGCAGATTGACCGAATGCGGCGGCACCAGAGTGGCTCCATGAAGGAGAAGCGGAGAAGCCTGCAGCTGCCGGCCAGCCCGGCCCCCGACCCCAGTCCCCGGCCAGCCTACAAAGTGGTAATGCCTTCCCAGCTACCCACAGGCATGAGCCTGGCATCTGCCAACACTTCCTACTCCCAGGGCATGGCCGGCTGGGGCCTGGGGGGTTTGAGAGGAAGGAGAGGGGAAAGAACCCAAGCTGGGCACCTGGGAGAGCCAGAGAGTCCTCTCTCCCACCGGCGGAAGAGTCTTTCAAGTGTTGACTTTTTCTTGTTTTAAGAAAATAACTCACAAAAAGGAATGCCTTAATTATTTTTGTTGAAATGAATTATACAAAATTCACTTAATAGAGAATAGTACAGAATTCACCACACAGAAATAGCTGTCACTTACGCACGTTTCTAGAGCATCTCCTCTGTGCCTAGCATTGGGCTGGCTGCGATGAAGATAATCATAAGAGCTCACCGTCACATGGCACAATATAATCCACAAATCCCTTTCATGTTATTTCATTTAATCCTTTTAGCAACATTGGGTTAGGAATTATTATCCTATTTTGCAGATGGGGAAACAAAGTGAGGAGAAATTAAATGATTCCTGGGCTACACAGCTCTATTAAGTACAGAGCTGGATGTAGCCCAAGACATTACTTAACTTTTGTTTCCATTAAATTTTAGAAATATGGAAAAATTATGACTCATAAGTCCTGTCCTCAACAGCTTACATTCTAGTTGATGGATTAGGACTTCTATAGTATGAAATCATTAGAAGTTAGCTGGGTGTGGTTGGCTCCTCATGCAAGTAATCCTAGCACTTTGGGAGACCAAGGTGGAAAGATCGTTTGAGGCCAGGAGTCTGAGACTAGCCTGACAACAAAACAAGACCCTGTCTCTATAAAAACATGTTTAACAAGTAGCTGGGCATGGTGGATGCACGTATAGTCCCAGCTACTTGGGAGGAGGCTGGGATGGGAGGACTCAAGGCCAGGAGTTTGGGATTGCAGCGAGCTATGATTCTGTGGCTGTACTCCAGCTGGAGCGACAGCAAGAGCCTGTTTCTTAAAAAATCAAAAGAAGAAATCAATACAAGTCACACTAACTCAACTGCCCAAATTATATAGCGAAGAATGTGAATACAGGGTACAGCAGGATGGGGAACAGCAAGAACTGACAAGAGATGTTGATGAGATGTTGCCTCTGGGGCCTGGCAGGTGGACAGGCTTTGGGTCAGTAGAAAGGAAAGAGGATAGTTCTGCAGTGGGGTGTGGTGGGAGCAGTGGGGTGGCAGCTAGATCAGGTGAGCTGGGAAGGGAAAGCGAGGACAGGGCATGGCTAGGGCTGCCTGGAGGCATGGGTAGCCGTGGTGCGATCGTGACGCTGCTGTCCCCTAGGTGCGCCGCCACCGCAGCATCCACGAGGTGGACATCTCCAACCTGGAGGCAGCCCTGCGGGCAGAGGAGCCTGGCGGGCAGGCCTACGAGACTCCCCGGGAGGAAATTGCCCGGCTTCGCAAAATGGAGCTAGAGCCCCAGCATTATGATGTAGACATCAATAAGGAGGTGAGTGGAGCCAGGAAGGGCTGTAGTGGGAGACTCTGGGAAGGGACAGAGGTGGTGACCCCAGCCCCTCCATAGCTCTCCACTCCAGACAAAGTCCTCATCCCCGAACGGTACATTGACCTGGAGCCTGACACTCCTCTGAGCCCTGAGGAGTTGAAGGAGAAGCAGAAGAAGGTGGAGAGGATCAAGACACTCATTGCCAAATCCAGGTAACCGGCCTGGGTGAGCCTCTACTTCCTCGGCCCACCCTGGCACCTAGGACACCTGGGCCACTAGAAGTCGTTGGGGGCACAGAGCCTCCCCAGGGGAGAGCACATCAAAGTGGTGGCTCCAGGTAGCAGACAGGGCCCAGCTACCGGCAGAGGCAAGGATGCTGCTGTCAGGTGCTAGTAAGACCCACCAGGCTCGTGCACATCACACCATCAAGACAAAACTGAAGGCTCGCCCTCTGGTGACTTCTTTTCCCCTTCAAGGCTGCCCTAAATGCTCACTTGAACCTTTTAATTCATTTGAGAACATTGAGGGTAGGGGTCTCAACCTGTGTTTTGTCAGGGTCCCACTCACTCCTAGGGACAGCCTTGCTGGGAACCAGAGACTGCACATTCATGGGGCCCTGGCCCTCCCTGCCAACCTCAGTCCGCAGGCCCCCCGAAGCCACTTGGACCATCCTGTCCCTCCCTCCATTTCTGTGTGTCTGTGCCTCTTCAGTATGCAGAACGTGGTGCCCATCGGCGAGGGGGACTCTGTGGACGTGCCCCAGGACTCAGAGAGCCAGCTGCAGGAGCAGGAGAAGCGGATTGAAATCTCCTGCGCCCTGGCGACCGAGGCCTCCCGCAGGGGCCGCATGCTGTCTGGTGAGAGGGGCTGGGCCTCGCTCCACCCTGCCAGGGAAACCAGCTGACCAGGTTTAGGGGAGGAAGTGCAGCACTGCTACCAGGGGGGCAGTAGCAAAGAGATACAAGGCTGAGGAGATGCTCCTCGAGGTTGAGACGAGTATCTATTGAGCACCAGGTACTGTGCTAGGCTCAGGGAGGTGCAAAGGGGCCAGAGTTGCTGCATCCAGGAGCTCAGAGCCAGGATGATCCTTACAGCCACCTTAGGGAGTATTGGCCAGAGGCCATGCAGAGCATGGGGAGCCATTCTGCCCGGGCAGGCCAGAGAAAGGCACAGAGAAAAGATGATAACTGAGTTTGACTGAGAAAGATAAAAATATTTCTCAGTTGCAGGGAGAGGGCCAGGTATTCCAGAGTATCCTTTCATTTCCTGCTTTTGCTGCATGCAAATAGGAAGAATCTTAGAAAAGATGGTGCAGGCAACCAAAGAGTTGAGAGCGATACAATTACCACTTTGGCTACTGATCCAAACTCACTTTTCTGCTAAGAAAAGATGACTATGAGGAACTGACTTCACACTGATACAAAGGCTACCAGGTCCTGACTAGATGCTGATAGGGTTGAGATCAACAGGGTCAGCTTCTGCTCAGTCTGAGATATCATCCCAGAATAGATGAAAATGTACTTGAGCTTTTAAGAATGAAAGAGATTCTGTATGAATGGGAGGGTTAAAGGGAGAGGAGAGACAGTGGGTAAGTTAAGGAGCCTGGGAGACTGTTCCCTTCATCAAGATAAAGGTGTTTAGGATAGAGAGGTAGAGTGAGAGTGAGAACTTTGAAGGCCAGTTAAGAGGAATGACTCAAAAGGGGGAGCCATGGTTGGAGATGACATTGGCAGAGGGGTGAGAGCAGGTGTGCAGGCTACATTTCCAGTAGCCCAGGCAAGAGCCATAAGCAGGTTAGAACCGTGGCTCGGAACATAGTGGAAGGGATGGCGTTTCATGTTGGTGATTAAGGAGGATTCAAATTCTGGTGCTCTGAGGTTCCATTTCCTCATCTGTGAAATTCAAATCAAAATTCCTGCCTCCAGTTCTGGTGGTATGAGGATTGGAAACAATGTGTGCCAAACACCTAGCACAGTGCCTGGCATTCACTAAGTGCTCAATACATGCTCGCAAGCTGTAGTAGTGGTGACAGTAGCAGTAGCGCTGTGATGCTGGTAGTAGTAGTTGAAATAGCAATAGACGAAGTAGAAATAGAACCATTTGTCATTTTGCTAATTATTTTAAATATGGATGTTTTCAGAAACCAGAAGATTTTAGCTACGGCAAAGAGGATTTAAGTAAGCCTTAATGAAGAACCTTCTGCCAGTTAGGGTGTAATGGACTTTAGAATGGGTGTCCAGGGAGACCCTTGGAGGTATTTCAGGGAGAGGCTGTCTTTAGGCTGGAGTTGAGGGGAAGAGAAGGGATAGCTTCAGAGAGCCCCATCCTGCAGCCAAAAGGCAGCAAAACCAGTTTGGCCACAAGGAAGCAGGCCTCTGTTGAACCTCCCTGTAGTTTAGCTCCAAAATGAACTTGAACCTTCCAAAGATCAGATTCCACATGCTCTGGGCAAAAGGCAACTTCCTGTTTCAAGAGGTTAGAGAGACAGGCCGGTTTAAAAACTTTGCTCTGCCCCAGCCCCAGCCCCTGGCTCTCTCTACTACAGTTCCTTAGCCAAAGGTTCCATGAAAACAAAACCCACCCGGCCTATCCGATTTCCGTCTTGATACACACAGGCTTACACGTCAGAGTCTGTGTGCTGAAACCAAACGGTCACCTTGCTTTTGCCAAAACCCCAACTATTTAAAAAATGGCTGTGGCAGGGCCAGACCTCAGACTTAGCCCACTGTTCCCACCAGCCCTGGCCTGTGGCCCAGCTCCTCAGAGCTACAGCTCTGCCAGGCACAGCAAGGCTGGTCCTGGGCATGCACTATGTGGGCACAGGTTCACACCCAGGACACTGTGTGTGTGGCAGTGCTGGGCACAGGTCATGAGCATAGTGTGCATCGGGTACAGCGAGTAGAGTTCAGTGCCCGTGTGTGATGTGTGGCATGGACAGAGTAATCAGTGAGGAATGCTGTTATGCTTACAAATCCACCCGGTGCGTGCAGACTCAGGTATGTAATATGTGGGAAATTATGGCATTTTTGAGTTTGTACGTGTGGCGTGGATGTCATGTGCAGTGTCTGGATCTGGTCATGTTTGTAGATACATGCATTTATTTGTGTGTATTCAAGTGTGCAGTGTGAGAATGGAAGAAAGGTTTGAGTACAAATGTAGCAATGTGTGTATCTGTGTAAAATGTCTAAGGACGTTGTGTGGAGACCCATTATGAATCCAGGTGGTATATGGTAAGCTGTTGGAGCATAAATGTACATGTATGTGAGTGTACAATACATTGGTGGAGGTGGTGTTTATGAATGCTTGTATTTGTGATTGGCTTTTCTACAGTATGGGAAATGATAAAGCATATTTGTGTATATGTTGTGTACAGTGTATATATTGCAGTATTGTGAACTTATGTCTGTGTGCATAGGCTGGGAGAAAGTACAGTGTCATGAATGTGACTGTGTGACTGATCATTTCTGCACGCATGTGGTACTTTGCACACTTTATAATATCACATATGTGTGATTCACATCTGCAGCACATGCAAATTTTAACTATTTTGATGGATATATTTCTAATATATATTTAGTATTTTTCTGCCTTCTTAACAAAGTTCTGTTTACATATGACCTTTTCTTGCTCATGTATTACATTATAAATATCTTTATTTTGCCGACCTCTGTTAAAGGAATGCCCTGAGGGCCACAATGGACATAGATCTGTTTGTAGCTATGCTAAATGTTCCCAAACTGTCACTCTTCTAAAGCTGTTATGTCTGCTTTTTACAAAACATTTTCTCTCCTCAGTCGTGCTTTCTTATAGATGTCAGTGGGCCTCCCAATTCCTCTGTCTCTTCGAATTTTCCTGTTTCTAATCTCCCCTGGGCTAGAAACCCAGCGAGCCAACACCTTTTAGAATTGTGTATCAATAAGAGTAACTGGACTCCAAGGGCTCCCTATGAGTAAATTCTGAGAGCCTCACTGCATGTCCTGTAGGCTGTAACCTCTATGTTGGCTTCCTGGAGATATCTTTTGCTGTGTTTTTGGTTTCTTGGCTGTTTTAGAAGTTGAGACTGCTAGATGACTAAGCGTTGGGTCAGTGATGTGGCTATGCACACGAATGTGTGTTTGAAAGTGTTTGTGAGTGTATTTGCACATGAAGTTACAAGTGTTGGGTCACATGGAAGGGTGCAGGCTTGGAAGTATACAAATACACTTATTGTGAGCTGTGTGCAATGAGTGTAATGATATGGTGTTGCCAGATCCCATGCACAAACTTTGTATTGTGTATAGGCAGAAAACTTCACATCCATGCGAGAGCTACATGTGTTCTATGCACATGAAGGTGTATTAGATATGTAACAAGAGTAGCCACCTTGGCTCTTTCTCTTGCACAGACGGCAGGGAAGGTGATGAGGTCCAGGGTAGGGTGGGGACGAGGGACTGGGAAGTTCAATGTTGGGACCCTTCTCTCGGTGGAAATGCAGTGTGACCCTGGCTGAGGTCTGGTTCCTTTCTGAGCCTGAGCGAGGATGTTGTCTCTGCCATCCTCCTGCCTCGCAGCTACAGTGAGGATGCGTGAGGGTCTGGAGACTGCATAGAGCTTGTCCCCAGTAATAAGTCTTCCCTTCTCATTGTCTTTCCACTTTACTGTTCTTAACATGGAATAATAATGATAATAGAGTAAAATCTCAATAATTCAAACGTCATTTCAGGCTTGTCTCGATTTGCTTAGGGGTGGACTGAAGTTTGACTTTACTGGACTGATGAAAAGGAGGTCTCAAGTGTTAGCAGGGAACATGTTTCTGAGCCCTTGACTGTGCCAAGTTAAGAGAACTCGCTTTAAGTTGATCAGAAATCTCTGTTTTGATGGCACTGATTAACATGGTGGTCACTTCACTTCTGTTCATTAAATGGGGCCAGATGGTTTGGATTGGTGTGATTTTACTACACTATTAATCATTATCGTTAGTGACACTGCGGTATATAAAGTACCACTTCCTGGTTCCGTCTGCACAGTCGCGGAGAGGTGTGGGAATCTCCCCATTGTGTGGATGGGAGGGGAGCCCTTGGCCCAGAGAGGGCCTGGCCTTACCCACAGTCACACTGGTTCTCAGCAGAGCCTAGATTCGACCAGGTCTCCTCTGGGGCCTCACACTCTCCTCCACGATGCCCTGGGAACGAGGACAGCTTGGCCTAGCTTGAGCAAGCTCCAAGCTCAGTGCTCTCTCTCTGCTTGCCTCCCTGCCTCGCTCCCCGCCTGGGGAGGGCCTCGCTTGCTCTGGGTGCCCACCCTCCTTCCCCACCCACCCCCATTCACCTCCCTGTTCATTTCTGTTTCCAGTGCAATGTGCCACCCCAAGCCCTCCCACCTCCCCTGCTTCCCCGACTCCTCCAGCCAACCCCCTGTCGTCTGAATCCCCACGGGGCGCCGACAGCAGCCATACCATGCGGGTCTGAGCTCTGACGTAAGCACTTTTCTACTGTATTTCATCCACCTGGGGAGTGGGGCCCCTTCCTTCACCCCCATTGAGCCATCTGTGTCCTCTCATTTTGGCATTTTGCTTCTCCCCTACCCCAGTGCCGTGTACCGCTCCTCCCCACTATCCATCCATCCATCCATCCATCCATCCATCCATCCATCCATCCAGCTTCCCCACGCAGTGCTGGGCTGGAACCGGCTGGCAGGGCCGCTTCTTGGATGTTGTGATGCCAATGGCCTTTGCTTCTCCAGAAGCAGGCAGGGAATGGACCCGAGACCTTACCTGTCTGCTCTCAGGGAAGGCTCTCCCCTGACACCCCACCCCTGTGCCTCCTGTCTGCTGACAAGCTTTCCATCTGTTGAGATACACAGATGCAGAACCTTCAGAAGCCCTCAAAAGCTGTTTCTCAACTCCCAGATCTTACTGTAATTTAAAATAACATTGACAATTACAGCCAAAGGCTGTGAACCCTTCCCTTGCCCCTAGCCCACAGCCGCTCACTCTCAGTCAAGTAGAAAAGAACACTGACTTCGTTTGCTTTGTTCCCCTGTCAGGGTTGAGGGACCGGAGTGGGTTTCTGCCAGGTTTTTGCAGGATGAGGCTTCTTTCTCCTGGGAAGGTTGGCTGGAGTCCTTGCTCCTCTGTGCAACCCTCTTCTCACCCCATTTCTTTTTTCTCCAGTGCAAGCCCTGGCTGAGGCCAATGCTGTGAAGCTCCACAGAGTCACATTCTGAAGCCGTCCTCTGCCAACCTGAGGTCCTGGCTCCCCACCCTGGCCCCCTGCCCCTGCACTCCCATGGGAATGCCGCAGGGAGCCAGGCTGGGGCCACGGGCTGCTGCCGAGAGGAGCGTGGATACCTCAGTGTCCACACACCCACTATGCCTAACCCTGGAGCTCTCACTGCTCACACCGTGGTCCTGGGCCAGGGCCTGAGACGGCAGTGGGGAGCACCATCCTCGTTAATGCCCAAGTCACAGGGAGCCTCGGCCTTGCCCTGGCTGGGATTGTGGTGACTCCAGTGGAACAATCCCTGATGGGGGACATGCCGTGGTGGAGAACATACCTGTGGCTATCTTATGTGAGGACTAGAGGTGAAGAGGAGATGGACACTGCCTCTTGGAGCCAGCCTGACACTGAGGACAGCACTTGTCGTCATCCCCATCCTCATCAACCCCACCCGGCTGCCTCAGCTGGACCCAGGGCTTTGATAAACCCAGTGCTTTGCTTATGGGTGCTCGCTGGGGTCCAATGGAGACTGACCACCCTGCTTGAGCCAAAGACAAGGTGATGAGAGATGGGGAGAGGCTATTGGCTCCCAGAGGGAACAGTGCTGGTTGTGGCTAGAGAACAGCAGGTCTGTGCAGTGTCTGAGGGCAGGTTGGGAAGGGTAGCAGAGAGAGAGAGACAGAAAGAGAAAGACAGAGAGAGAGAGAGATCCTCAGAGTGGGAGGAGGGGAAGCAGCAGGACACATTGGCAAGTCAAGCAGGAAGGAAGGAGATGGAAAAGGGGTATTGGATTGGTTTCCCCAGGTGGAGCCTTAGGTTAGTGCCCAGTGCAGTGCCAGACTCTCTCCTCTGCTCCTCCCACCTCATCCCCAGGACGACCCACCAGTGGAGCACAGGCAGCCTCAGTGGAGATGCTTGGTGTGGGGATCTAGGTGAAGGAGGTTGAGTAGCGACTGCCTGGGAGATGGCTGTTGGTAGTTCTGTGCCTGGTGTCTGCCTCCCCGTCCTGGGGTAAGGGGCAGAGAGAAGGACTTGTCTTATGTAGGGTGTGGTCAGCCTTGGGGCCTTACCTACCCAGTTCTGCGATATTTCTTGCCCTGTTCCCCCTGGAATGTGCAGTGATCCAGCTGAGAATATGCTTTGAGGAGGAGGGATGAGGCCTTAATCTGGGAGGCCTCCCAGGATTCCAGGACCATCCCCCATCCCAGGCATCCCAGACGAGGACTGGCTGAGGCTAGGCGCTCTCACGATCCACCTGCCCAGGGAGGGCAGTGGGGGAGAGACAGAAGAGCAAAGCGCATTCTTCCTCAGCTCCACCCACCTGGAGATGAATGTAGCCAGAGAGGAGGAAGGAGGGAAGCTGAAGACGCCGTGGCCCCTAGGCCTTCACTCTGCTAGAGTTGCCACCCAGAGGCTTCAGCCTGACCTCCAGCGGTCCCAAGAACACCTACTAATTCCTCTCCACTCCTTCATGGCTGGGACAGTTACTGGTTCATATGCAAGTAAAGATGATAATTTACTCAACAAATATTTATCGAGCACCTTTTATGTACCAGGCACTATTCTAGGTGCTTAGGATATTCTCATGTTTCTGAGGGATTACAGCCTAGGAGGATTCCACCAATCTTCACTTCTAGCAGGTTTTTTAAACGTGACCCTTGGCTATATTTCCCATCTTCACAGTTCAAGCACCCCAAACCTGCCCTTTCTCCCCTGTAGACTGGCAGGTGGATTGGCTCCCAGGTCATCTTCTCTCCCTCTTTCCCCCACGCCTTTCTCCCTCCACAGGAAACAGATTTTTCAGGGCCTTCCACACCTGCCACTTTGTCTGTCTCTTTTTTTTTTTAAAGTAATATTTTTTAGAAATACATGTAAAATACCAAGAAATAATATCTGCACCTCTGCCACCTCTCTCTCACCTCTTATTTCATAAAGCTGGCTCTTTATGTTGCTTTACATGCCTTAATATATGTTTTATGGAGATTATACATATTATAGATTCTATATATGTAATATATTTGTTTGGATGTCTGATCTTTTCCTACAGTTCCTGCCCAGGCCCGTTTTTCTCTCCCTTATTTTCCATATCATTCCTAGCATATCAAGGCCATACCCCTTGCCTTTTTGATCCAAAGAAGAGGAGAGGAAAGACTTATTTTAAGACAGATCTATTTTATGCTTTTGTTTAAAAAAAGCAAATCTATTTTCAAAATGTGCAATGTCTGAATGGAATTGGCAAGTGAGGTGAGGAGATGGGGCAACTGCCTTTAGGTCCCAACCCTGTGCCCTTCCCTCTGCCACAGTGGCTTCATTCCATCCTATTCCCCAGTCAGGAAAGGGCTGGTCCCCAGAGCTCACCCAGAGAGCATCTTGCCGGGGGCAGGGCATTCCCTCGGAAGTCCTGGCCTAAGGATTTTATTACACTGTCCACTCCTGATGACCCTCTGCAGTTGTCAGGCGTGAATCCTCTGGAAGGAACTGTTTGCAGTTGTATGCACAAAGGAGACCCATGCAGGCATGCACCCCAAATGGGCTGCTAGACTACCCCTCTTCATCAGGCTGCTGGAAAGAGCAGACAGTGTAATGGCAGCCTATGCCAAACAGCGCTAAGGATGTCGGTCTACGAGATGGTGTGAAGCCCAGAGGCGGCGGCTTGGGATCCTCTGGGCCATCCCTGGCCCTTTAGCACAGACACATATAAGTTCCTTGGGCTTGTCACACTCCTTTTCACTCGATCCCTCTTTGGTCTGGGTCACATCTATGACATCCCCCCTCTGCAACCTTTCTCTCTGGGGGCTGTACCAAAGGCATGGTACCTCAGTCTGGCATCCAGACTGCGAAATCAGCCTCTGAGCCGAGGAGGGTCCTACAGACAAGGTGACATCTCAACCTCACCCAAGAAACCCCCAGGACTTTACCCCAGCAGGCTGCCACGGGGGCACCAAACGAAGCCAGCTCAGCCTTCCAAACTTCTCAAGCCTTTGTCAATTATCAAATTGGCCAAAGGGTCTCTGGCCTTGCAAGGATTTGGGCAGGATAGAAGTCTTTGTCTAGATCTGAAATCAAGGGCTTGGGAATCTAGAGCCGAGCTTCTGGCCAGCGTTTGAAGCCTGGCCTCCCAGCTGGGGCGTTTACTGACACCCTGCCACCAGCCTAGAACATCCCGCTCTGAATGAACAGAGCGCAGGTGGGGGTCCAGGGCTAAGTGACCCACCTGGGGACGCTCTGATTATTCATCCAGGGCCTTCTCAATGAGCACATTACCTCCATGATCAATAACCAAGAGGCTGCAATCAAATACTGCTACTGTCACTTTGAAGATTTTCTGAGATCGCAAGTGGCACACTTGCTCTCCGACCTTTGGGAGAGGCATGTTTTTGGGCAGGGCTGGCTATGGCAAGAGGGAACCAGTTCCTTTCTCCTTTAAGCACCCTCTACCTGGCAGCTCTTAAAACTAAGAAAAAATATTATATACACACACACATATATATATACACACACATATATATATCTATTTATGCACATATTGGGGCCAATTTGATTTGCTAGTATTAGACAATAAACCATACAAGGAAATTTATGATCTCAGTGTCTTTATTTAGTATAAAAGTGACCTTAGAAGAAGGGTGAAGGTTAGATAGATGGAATCTCTGTCGGGGGCAACCAGCTGTAGCATCCCCTTAGCATCTTTCTAGCCAATGAGCCCCCTCCCCAGGAGGAGGGGACGGCCTGACTGAAACAGGTGAGAGTTTGCTTCCTCCTTTCAGCAGCATTCTTTTTAGATTTAGGTACCGAAGAATTCCAGTGAGTTCTGCATTTGTATCTTGCAAGTTTGTATAAACTCAATACAGGAAATAAAATGAATGTTTTGTACATGTGGTGTGTGTCTCCTACTCTGTGTCTGCCCTCGTGGTGCTTGTGGGCTTGTGGGGTTGGCAGCTTGTGGGGTTGGTAGGAAAGGGGAATGGGGGCTGGGGGATAGGCTGGGTGCAAAACATATGCTCCCTTCCTCCCCTGTGCCTCAGCCTGCCCTTTTGGGCTCTATCCCCAGGAGCTGGGGAAGCAAGGGTATGCTGCCAACACCAGCATCATCATTTCAGTTCAGGTGACCCCAGATCAGGGTTTGTCCCAAGGTTCTGTATAATGGGAGTATCAGATGCTTCAGGCCCTGGCACCTTCCCTTGGTTTGACTCAGACAAAGGATAGGACAGCAGGAGAAGAAAATGAATTCCCAGGCTTTCTTGATTACTACACAATGCGCTATACTGCTGCTTTACGAGAAGGTGCATAATTTGGTGGGAGGTATGACGACACCCCAATTCTCATCCTGCCTCCATCCCTTTGGTTTATTTCTCTTGAAATAAACCAAAGTGTTTAGTGGTTATCAGGTATTGACACTCTGTGTGAAGCGCTTTACCGGCGCTTCTCAATTTGGAATCTTACTGTGGGAAACAAGAGTCGAGAAGCCTGGGAAATTTTGTGGGGTGGGTAGTGGAAGAGAAGAGGTGCACCCGGGAGACTGGCAGGCTCAGCTGGGCTTCTGCACGTTGTTTGAGGGAGGGATGGCTCAAGAAAAAGCGAGAAAGAGAGATGAGAAAGCAAGCTTCCTAATTCCTAATCTTGCATCGACTTGGCTTTCATGGCTGAAGCTGAATTCCAGACACCTGTTCCCATTTCTAAGGGCTAGTACAGGGGTGGTCATTTTTTAAATTTGACTCTATTTTGGATGTTGTCACATCCCCAGGATGATGTCCTTTGTGAACCCAGGAGAGTTGTGACCACATGTAGGCTCTGGGGGAGGGCCTGCATCAGAGGCTGGGGTAGGAGGGTGTATATTGGAGAACTTGTCACTTTCCGGGGAGCTGAGCCTTTAGCTGCAGCCTCCATCTGAGCCAGAGCCAATGGCAAGGGCTTGGGGAGGAGGTGGAATGTGAGACCACAGAGCACCACAGGGCATCACTGCATCCACCGACAAGGGCTGGCTCCTCCTCTCAAGAGATGATGCCAGCTGGTGCCTGCTCCACCCCCTACCCAGATCAAGCCAGGTTGGGATTTGTAAAAAGGGGGCAGTAGCTGATAAATGTAAATGAAAATGCAACTAGCAGAATGCCCTTTAAGGAGCAGTGCTGTGTAACTGTGTGATCATTTATTTATTCTTGAAGAGAGGCACGACAGGGTCAGGCAGGCAGCCAAGCCTCAGATCCTGCTGCTGCCAGGGAACTGGGGCCACACCGCGGCCCCCTCCTCATCCTGAGCCTCACCTCGTTACTGAGATCAATGAGAGAAGGTGGCATGTCATCCTCAACTCCTCCCCCTAGCAACATGCTCCTTGCTAGCTGCAAGAAGATTTGGACAAGTCATTAAATTCTTGAGTCTCGGTTTCCTCGTCTGGAAAATGGGTATGTTAACCACCATCTTATGGAACTTTCAAGAAAGGCAAATGAGAAAATGGATGAAAATCGCTTTGAAAACTCAAATTCACTTCCAAATGTGAGGAAGTGGAAGTGGTGATGTTGCAAAGGCTCCCTGGCCACCTGCAGGGGCCTGATGTGGGAAGAGGGAGAAGGTTTTCCAGGACCCCTTCTTTACTAGCTCTATAGCCTTTGCTGGAAGGCATCACCAGGGCCTGTGCCGTCCCTGAGGTGTCCCTCCCCTGCCAGTTCTACGCCTCCAGCCCAGGGAGTAACTGCACTACCCCACCCCTTTCTCATCATGGCAGGGTCATGAGACTGCCATGGGTCGAGGACTAGCACCAGCCTTCCAGGGCCTGCATACCCCTTCCCGGGAACGTCCCTATGAAGGTCCCTCTCCAGAAGGGTGAACTGTGGACAGCCCCTCTGCGCTCAGCTCCAGTACCCAGAGAATCAGGCCAGGAGGGCCCAGTATCATGAGTGTTTAATCTCCTGAGTTCACAGGTGGGTGTCATGGCTGGGGGTGGGGGCAGGGAGGGGCATCCCCAGCTGCTATTTTATATGCCTGTGGGAGTGGTTTAGCACAATCTGAGATGACAGTAGAAGTCTTTCATATAAAGCATATTAACAGTATACTAATAATGTTAATAACAATAGTAATTATTATAACTATACAGTAATAGCAATAACAATGGTTCATTAAGTGCTTACTGTGTGCCAGGTACCTGGTTCTACGCACTTCACATGCATTTACTCACGAGTCCTCATCCTCTGTCAGTCATAGGTACTCTAATTATCCAAGAAGCCGAGGCACAGAAAGGATAAATAAAATGCCCAAGGCTTCATGAAGCTAGGATGAAGCTCTTAACCTACCAGTGATTTCAACGGGGATGATTCTGGCCCCTTGGGGCATTTGGTTGTCTCAATCCTAAGGGTGCAAAACTCTTCCTGGCATTTAGTGACTGCAATGCACAGGACAGATTTCCAAAACCAAGAATTGTCCCATATCCTGCACAACTTTCGAATGTACAGCTGAACTAAACCCACTACCAGTAAAAGTTGGTCATGCTCCAATTGACAGTAATACCAAAAGGTTTTGTAAGCTTTTAAAAATAAGTTTCATGAAAACTCAGAAAGTTAGGAGATGGTTATTATGGAGCAGAAGCTTAAAAGGAATAAAAGACATTGTCTCAAAATTATTGAATAATCTACTCCATGCCTTGTCTGCCCAAAGGATTACAAGATTTCTACTACTATGTATTTGATTGAAAACAGTTCTGGCCAGGCGCGGTGGCTCACGCCTTTAATCCCAGCACTTTGGGAGGCCGAGGCAGGCGATCACGAGGTCAGGAGATCGAGACCATCCTGGCTAACACGGTGACACCCCATCTCTACTAAAAATACAAAAAATTAGCAGGGAGTGGTGGTGGGCGCCTGTAGTCCCAGCTACTCGGGGGGCTGAGGCAGGAGAATGGTGTGAACCCGGGAGGCAGAGCTTGCAGTGAGCAGAGATCGACTCCAGCCTGGGTGACAAAGCGAGACTCTATCTCAAAAAAAAAAAAAAAAGAAAAGAAAAGAAAAACAGAAAACAGTTCCAATCAGTAGGTGATACTGAATAAGCAAAGAAATTGACTGAAAATATTTAACAGAAGAGATGTGAGAGAACCAAACATGAAATCAGAGACACTTGAGATGCAGGAGATCTCACTGTGTCTCCTTAATAAAAGTTTTTAGAGTTTATTTCATATTATTGCCATCCTTTATATGTTTAAAGTTTTTTGCAGCCCAAGGATGAACACTTACGTTGTCACAATTACGTGTGGAAATGTTGTGCCCTGTCTTTACAACACTGTCCCAGGTGTCCACATGCAATTGCTCTAAACCATTTTTATCTTCTTTTCTCTTCCCAATCTATCCTCTATGCCCCATTGCCCACTGGAAATATATGATCTCTAAGGCCTTTTAAGATCCCAGAGACTGAATTCTACCTCAACACTGATATGTTTCAAGACAGAGGTCGATGTGTTGTGGTACTCTATGGCGACCCCATTCCATGGGAGCTATTTTGACAATACACACATACATAAGACCCAGTTCCTTTGCATGCGCGTCATACTCCTATATTATCTCCACCTTGTGCTCTCTAATTTGCCCTGCTGTGTCATCCCTATCTCAATTAAGATGCTTTCCCTCTCTTATCATATGCAAGTACATCTGGTCTGTTATTACTCACCTAGCAATTTTTATTTCTAGTGTTCACTTCCTGCTACTCTTTCATTTTCTTGCATGTGTGTGATTTTTGTTTTTGCATAGAATGGCTCGTCTTCTATTTCTCTTAAATTCAAATATATATTATGTGTAGGTGCAAGCAATCTGCCTATTTCATTTATGCCTTCTGGTAAGTCTTGCTTGAGTGTTTATATATTGAAAGACATCATGTTTTATTATAACTTATCCTTTTTTTTGTTTTTTAATTGTGTCAGCTTTCCTTGGTTTTGTTGTTGTTGTTTGGTTTGGTTTTTTGAGACAGGATCTCACTCTCATACCCATGCATGGCTTGATCACAGCTTGTTGCAGCCTCGACCTCCTGGGCTCAAGCAATCCTCCTACCTCAGCCTCCCCAGTAGCTGGGACTACAGGCAGGCACCACCACATCTGGCTAATTTTTTGATTTTTATTTTTGTAGAGACAAGGTCTCACTATGTTGCCTAGGCAGGTCTCAAACTCCTGGGCTCAAGCAATCTTTCTGCCTCAGCCTCCTAAAATGCTGGGATTACAGACATGATGCATTTGGTATGCCAGGCCTATTTGCATTTTTAAATGATGTATGTAGATTAGTCATATCATCTATGAAATTCATTTCTTCATTTCTGGATAGAGGAGACATTGCAAAGTGGATGTTGGCTCTCCTGGCATTGAGAACCATTGCTCTGTGATGGGGAAAAAAGGATGTTAGGAAATAACTGCCCCTCCTTTTGCAGGCCCAAAGGAGGAAAGGACAAATCCATGTCTACACAGCTGGTAGGTGGACTCGAACCAGGCCCCCTGAATTGTCTAGTCCTGCCCCAACCCCAAATTCAGGGCTTTGTCTTCCATAGCTCAACCTCACAGTGAGTCCAAAGCTGGACGACGCTTGGGGAAAGGAGGTCCAAGCCCTTCGTGTCTAACTTCCCCCATGGCGCTTTTGCCATTAATTTAACCAGATGTGGCTCTGCCATTAGGTCAGCAACAGGCTTTGTACTCAGTCGCTCATTGCCTCCCAGCGCCTAGCATGTGTAATAGCAGAGAGTAAAAAGCTTGACTTTCAAGATTAATTTAGTACATTCCCAAAGGGATGCGCGGATGCCAACTCTTCACACACCACGAAACCAAGCAAGAAACCTGAGCACCTCCTAGATCCCAATGCTTCCATATACAATCTAAGTTTCGCGGGGCAGACGAGAGCCCGCAGAACACCGGGTGGTGTGAGGAAAGGGTCAGGAGGACGGTGCCTTCCCCGGCGAGCACGGCAGGTGGAGGGGCATTGCCCTACCGGAAGACGGGAGGAGGGAGTAGGCGACTAGAAGCACCTGCATGGTGTGCGCGGGTGGGGCGGGGGTTGGAGGGGGAGTTAATGATTTGCCATAGGCTCATTTCGCAACTTAACCAAGAGTCAGCTTCCCGTGACCATGTACCAGTTGAGTCCCCCGGGCCACGCTCCACTTGTCCGCTTCCAACCGGAAGGCCCCCCAGGCTGTGTGCGGCATGATCTCCATCACCGAATGGCAGAGTGAGTGGAGGGAGCGGGGCTGCAATGGGCTACCCAGGCCAGGCTCCGTGCAGGTTCTCTCTCTCCCAGCCGGGCAACTGTCACTGGGAAACCTACAAGCGTGACCTCTGGAGCCAGGGGCTGGGAGCTGCCGTGCTGGCACCCGGGGCAGCAGGCAGGGCGGGGTGTGGCTCCCTGCTCTCCAGAGGGTGGGAGTTGCTCAGGGCCCACAGGTAGCCAGAGTTTGGTGCCCAGGGGACCTGGTAGGTTCCCCAGTCACACTGACCCTTTTCCCATCCCGGGTTGCCACAAAGGTGGACTCAGGAGGCCTCTGCCCATTCAGACATCTTTCCCCACACTATCAAGGTCTGCTGTGGCCCTGGGGGCTTCTTATAAAAAACTGAACTCCACTCCCCTGCCCAAACCAATACCCTCACTCCTAAACATCCTTCCCCTTCTTTTGGGGGAAGAGGTAGGGAGGAGGTCTTGGAACAGGTCTGGGGCCATGGGAAGAACCGTGACTCTGTGGCCTTCATTTGGGTGAGTTACTTAAAGCCTCTAAGCCTTGGTTTTTCATGTGAGAACTGGTGACAACATTCTTTTGTTCACTCAACAGATTTGTCTCTGCTGTGTGCCCAGCACTGTGTTGGACACAGAGTGTCCAACATTAAATGAAACCAACTCCCTGCTTACATTCTAGAGAGGGGAGACAGGTAATTAACAGAAAGAAGTATGTAGTATATCAGAAGATGTTAAGTCCTCCAGACGAAAATAAAATAAGAGGAGGCTAAGGAGTTTGAGGTAGGAGGGGTCGCTATTTTATATAGAGTGGTCGGGGAAGGCTTCACTGAGAAGGTGCCCTTTGTACAGAGATCTGTAGGAAGCGAGGAAGCAAAGCCATGCAGCTCCCTGGAGGGGAAATGTTCAGGAAGCAGGGACAGGCAGTGCAAAGGCCCTGAGGCATTAGCATACTTGGCGTGTTTGAAGAACAACAAGGAGGCGGGTGTACCTGGAGCAAAGTGAGGTGTAGGGAGAATCCTAACAGTTTAGGTCAGGGAGGTCACTGAGGGGTCAGGACACTGGATACTTATAGACCATGGTAATGACCTTGGTTTTATTTACATAAGAAACTATCGGAGGGTTTCGTGCTGTGGTGTGATGCGTTCTGTTTCTACGTTTAAAAGATCACTCTGGGTGCTGGGTTGAGAATAGGCTGTGAAAGTATGAAGGTAGCAGCAGGGAAGCCAGTTGTTTTTTTTTGTTTGTTTTGTTTTGTTTTGTTTTGTTTTGTTTTGTTTGAGACAGAGTCTTACTCTGTCGCTCAGAGCTGGAGTGCAGTAGCAGGATCTCTGCTCACCGCAACCTCCACCTCCTGGGTTCAAACGATTCTCCTGCCCCAGCCTCCCAAGTAGCTGGGATTACAGGCGCCCACCACCACACCCAGCTAAGTTTTGTATTTTTAGTAGAGATGGAGTTTCACCACTTTGTCCAGGCTGGTCTCGAACTCCTGACCTCTCAAGTGATCCACCCGCCTTGGCCTCCCAAAGTGCTGGGATTACAGGTGTGAGCCACCGTGCCCAGCCAGGAAAGCCAGTCCTGAGTGTGTGAAGGTGGAGGAGACCAAGGTGTTAGCAGGGGATTAGTGGGGTGTGTTCCATGCTGGATCTGCCTTGAGGAAAGTGTTGAGGATTTGCTGATGGATTGGATATAGGGTGTGAGAGAAAGAGAAGTCAAGAATGCCTTGTATATTTTTTAGCCTGTGCAATGGGAAGGGTTGAGTGGGGGGAAAGCAGGAATTGGGCTTTAGATGTGTTGAGTTGGTTTGTGCTGTTAGACATCCAGGTGAGATGTCAGGTAGGTGGTTGGGTATGTGAGTCTGGAGTTCCAGGTAGAGGCCTGGGCTGGAGACAGAAATGTGGGAATAATCTGCATATTCATAGTCTTTAGGACCACGAGCATCCAAGAGATCACCAAGGGCAGGCACAGTTTCTCACCTCCCCACTACTGACATTTTGGGGCAGGATAATTCTTTGTTGTGGGAGCCTGTCCTGTACATTATAGGATATTAGCAGCATCCCTGGCCTCTACCCACTACATGCCAGTAGCACCCCCACTCCAAGCTGTGACAATAAAAAATGTCTTCAAACATTGCAAAATGTCCCCTGGGAGACAAATCCCCATCCTGCCCCCCACTCCCCCTCCACAATCCCCTCACCCCAGTTGAGAACCATGGACCTCGTGAATAAAAATATAGAGAGAGGTGGGTTGGGTCCTCAGCCCAGTGGCACGCTGACACTTTGTTAAACCAATTAGCCTGCAAGTAAATGTACTCTTGCCAAATACGATAAGCAAGTCCTGTGAGAGAGAGAAATGAGGGAACCAGATTTAGGTCAGGGAACAGAGTGGACCGGCTTTCCCTGAGCAACTGACATTTCAGTTGAGACCTGAACGATGAGGATGCATTGTCAAGTAACAAGTGAAAGGCAGAGTGTTGCAGACCAGGAAACTGCATGTACCAAGGCCCTGAGCCAAAAGAGCTCACATGGAAGCCATGGAGAACAGTGTGGTTGGAGCATGGCAGGCAAGAGTGACAATGGCAGGAGATAAGGTGGACAGGCAGGCCTGGGCCCCACCAGGCAAGGCCTGTGAGCCGCAATGTGGATGAGAGAGCTCTGCTGCAGTTTCATCTTAGTGGGCAGCCACGCAGGAGTCTAGGCAGTATGCTAACATGATCAGGTTGTATGTTTTGCAAGACCCTTGAGCGCTGTGTGGAGAACAACTGGGAGGGCGCAGGAATAAAGCAGGAGGCCAAATGGGGGCTGCTGCAGGAGTCCAGGAAAGAGATGATCGTGGCTGGGAATTAGGTGGTAAGAATGGAAAGAAATGGACAGCTTTCAACATGTATCTTGGGAGAAGAAAAGAACTTAGCTGCGAATTTCATGGGGGAAGGGTGGGCTTTTGCCTTAAGTGGTGGAGTGGGCGGTGGTGACATGTTTACTCATTTGAGGACAACCAAGGGAGGCATAAGTTGAAGGAAGGAAGATAAATAACCCAGTCTGGGATTCAAGATTAGCCCAGTTCAAGATGGCTGAGAGAAAACCAGGCAGATATGCCAAGTAAGCAGCTAGATATGAGTTTCAAAGCCCAAAGAGAGGCATGGACTAGAAAGAGAGACATCAATGCCATCAGCATACAAGGGATGTTTAAAGACGTTCAGAGGCTGGGTGTGGTGGCTCATGCCTGTAATCTCAGCACTTTGGGAGGCTAAAGTGGGAGGATCGCTTGAGGCCAGGAGTTCAAGACCAGCCTGGGCACACTGCAAAACCCCTGTCTCAACAACAAAAAAATTTAAACCAATTTTTAAAAATTAGCTGGGCATGGTGGCCAGTGCCTGTAGTCCCAGCTACTCAGGAGGCTGAGGTACAAGGATCCCTTGAACCCAGGAGTTCAAGGCTGCAGTGAGCTATGATCGTGCCATTGCACTCCAGCCTGGGCAACAGAGCGAGATCCCAGCTTTAAGACAAAATTAAAAACAAAAATAAGCACACGGGGATACATGTGGAAATAGAATGAGAAGAGAAGTGAGCTTGGGCACAAGCCCTGTGCAATTCAAATCCCAAGAGGAAGAGAGAGAAGTAGGAGCTGGCAGAGGAGACAGAGAAAGGGCAGTTAGAGCAGTAGGAAGAAAATCAAGAACGTGATGTGCACAAACCAAGAGAAAGGCTGTTTCAACACAGGAGTGGTCAGCTCTAACAGATGACGGCTCACACCTGCCCATTGGATCTGATAACATGGAGGTCATTAATGGCCAAGGCAAGAACATTACCTGTGGAAGTGGACTGGACTGGGTTGGTTAAAGGCACTTTTAATTTTTGTTTTGTTTTGTTTTTGTTTTTTGAGTTGGAGTTTCGCTCTTGTTGCCCAGGCTAGAGTGCAATGGCATGATCTTGGCTCATTGCAACCTCTGCCTCCTGAATCTAATCAAGCGATTCTCCTGCCTCAACCTCCCAAGTAGCTGAGATTGTAGGTGCCCGCCAACTCACTGGCTAATTTTTTGTATTTTTAGTAGAGACGGGGTTTAACCATGTTGGCCAGGCTGGTCCCGAACTCCTGACCTCAGGTGATCCACCCACCTCGGCGTCCCAAAGTGTTGGGATTATAGGTGTAAACCACCGTGCCCACCCAAAAGCCACTTTTTGGAGCTCGAGACTGAGTTCAAATCCTGCTTCTGCCAGCTGCTGTGTATTCCTGGGCAAGTGACTTAACCTCTGTGTTTCAGTTTTGTTTGTGAAATGGCACTAATAGTAGTACCTATGTCACAGGTAGTTATGAAAATTGAATGTGTTAATATACTTAAAGCATATATGTGCCTAGACTGTGCCTGGCACAGTATGTTCATTATACGATCAATCACTATTGTTAATTTTGAAAAGCGAATGAGGCTCTTTCTCTCCTTATTTCCTTCCTTCCTCTTCCTGGACAATTCAGTCTTAAAGCCATTAGGTTTAACACAGAGAAGGGGGTGCTCAGAGTGGGGTGTTAGAACCCCAGCAGGGTGAGAAGGGTATTCACACTAGGGGTGGCCTGGTGCAAAGTGTCATAGGCAAAGTAGAGTGATGGGCATCCCCTGCAGGGTCAGGGATGGGGTGGTGAAGGCCTGGCAGACACTGCCCTAAGAGTAAAGAAACATTATCAGCGATGGGGCAAATTGACATCGTGCACCACCTACCAGGATGCAGTGAGAAAAACACAGCATCACATCTTGTGCTATTTCTGCCTAAGATGCATAACCTGAGTCTAGTTGTGAGGAAACATCCGACAAACCCAAATGGAGGGATGGCTACAGAATAAGTGGCCTGAATCTTCAGAAGTATCAAGTTCATGCCAAGGAAAGACCAAGGAGCTGTTCCAGACAGAAGAGTTTAAAGAGACATGATCATTAAATGCCACACAGAATGATGAACTGGAATCTTTTGCTATAAATGATACTACTGGGTGAATGATGAAACTTGAATGGAGTC